TATATACTTATATAGTTATATGCATACACTATCACAGCTAAAATAACAATTTCTTAACTCCCTAGGCTGCGTGGTTTAATTCTATTGTGTTTGTTTAGTTTGTTTGTGTCAGTTGCTGATCTCACTTGTTAGGCAGGTTTATTCACAAGTACGGTACACATATAATTGTGGGCTTGGCTGTTGGAGGTCAAGATTTAATTTGTGTCAGACAGGCCCCTACATCAGAAATTCCTCCTGCTGAACTCAGAGCTCATCTGGAAGATCTTGGAGACGCTCTTTTTTCGGATGGGAAAGATCCACTTTTACAGCGAAAAGCTAGAGAAGGACAACAAAAGGTTAGAGATCTGAGTAAAATGCCTATTGGTTTTTTTCTTGCTTGAAAAAGTTTCGTTTTTGTAAATATTATATGTATTTCCCTTTTCATACAGGCTCCGGAGGTCTTCAGTCGGATCCTGCAGTCAAATATTATACAGTTGACTAGTGTTGTAGAAACATCAAACAAGGATGTAAGTGTGTTAATAAAATCTTGACCGTTAAGCTCCCATGTTATTACTCTTACATAGCAATTATATATTTTTGTGTTAATTTGTTCAGGGACTCTCTGTTATACGATCAAGAAGAGGTGGAAATGTGTTTCTGCATAGTCACTCCCAATGGCTCCAGACAGTGCCTAGCCACCCTGATGCAATTCTCTTCAAGTTTGTGCCTATTACTTCACTCCTTACCGGAATCCCAGGCAGTGGTTATCTTAGTCATGCAATTAATTTGTATTTAAGATGTAAGTTTTCACTTTGCATCTAAAAGTTTATGTTCAATGTGCAATTCAAGCTGTGATTTAGTTCAATCCTTCAGTTATTACTGAACAACTGAACAACAATGTTCTTTAGGAGATTTTTTTGGACACCATAACTCTACTCTGCATTCTTGTGCTATTTAGTTATTTACTGAATTTATGACCTGTTGGTTACCTTTTTATTGTCTGAATTATAATATTCCTCTCTTCAGACAAACCTTCTCCAGATGATCTGCAATACTTTTTGGAATTCCAAGTCCCTAGACAATGGGCACCTATGTACAACGAGCTTCCTCTCCAGCATCAAAGAATAGCGCCCTCCTCATCTCTCCTTCAATTCAGCTTGTTTGGTCCAAAGATTCATGTTAATTCCACCAAGGTACTCCCCATTTTCTTGTTGGCATAGTTTACATATCATAATGAGGATGGGGTCTTTAGCTCCATATTGGGTCCCCTTCTCAAGAAATCCCCTGCATGTATAATCCACCCTTATGGATGAGGTAGTGAGGATTTCACCCCGGGCAGAATGTCTTGAGGTCCGGGCTGATTTCAACTGATCCACCGACCTCCTTTGGCACAGTTTTCATCTGACATTAAATATTTTGCCATTTGTTTTTCAAAATTTTGTTGTTTCATCCCCGTTCTGTTTTTGCTCTGTGGTTTTAGGTCACAAGTAGTTTGAAACCAATAGTTGGTCTACGCCTTTACTTGGAAGGGAAGCACTGCAATCAACTAGCCATCCATGCACAGCATTTGACAACGCTGCCTAATTCTATGACATTTGCTTCAACTCATGATCATGGCCAGTGGCGAGGTTCTGATGATTTTGATCCTGAAGGCCAGTTTCTAGAACGTGTCAGATGGAAGAGATTCTCAAAAGTCTGCACATCCATTGTGAAGCATGACCCGAACTGGCTGCAGGGTAAAACAACAGGGGTTTTCATTGTGACTGGGGCTCAGCTCCTTACAAAAGGGAGGTGGCCAAAAACAGCTCTTCACCTTCGGTTGCTCTTCAGCCACCTGCCTAACTGCACAATCAGAAGAACTGAATGGGCTGCTGCCCCACAAGCATCTCACAAGTCAAGTATCCTCATGACTTTGAGCACAACTTTCACCTTTACTCCGAAGCAAAACAACAGCCCGCCTAAAAAGTTACCGGCTGCACTGAACTCTGGTGTTTACCCAAATGGTCCTCCAGTTCCAGTCAACTGCGAGAAGCTGCTTAGATTTGTCGATACTTCTGAGGTGTTGCGCGGTCCTCATGATGCTCCAGGTCACTGGTTGGTCACAGCTGCCAAGCTCGTGACAGACGGAGGTAAAATAGGTTTGCATGTAAAGTTTGCGTTAATAGATTATACAAGTGATCTGTAAATTTTGCTGTATATATATGTCAATCGAGTCGATTATTTTGTATGTCTGAGGGTCTCTTTGTGGAAGTGACTGTGTGAGGGAAATAGTACTACGGAGTATAAGATACATTGTACAGATAAAACTTAGAAGTGACGATTTTTTTGTTTCGTAAAAGCCCTTGTTATCCATTCTTTACTCTCTATTTTTCCCTTAATAGCGAGAAGAGTAGACCTCTATTTTTGCAACGAATTTCAGGTTTCTCTTTCGCTCTTTTTTTTTTTTTTTTTGAGATAACAGGTTGTTGCCATGATAAAATACATGTATTGTACTCTTTGAAAAGAAGCAATATGCCCAATTTGGGTGACAATTTGGTGAAATTGCAAAAATAGAACTAATTGTAGTGTAAGAAATTGAATCCTTTGAAGTAAGTGGACTTTCTTGCAAAAATTAGAATTTTCTTATATAACCAAACAGATTTTAAGCACTTCTAGAAAAAATAAATTTCTTTAGAAGTGCAACCTATGGAAATGTGTAACTTGTGTTGTGCATCCTACCAAATGAAGACGTACAAATAGGGACATGGTGCAATTGACGCGATATTCTTATATTAGTCTTCATGGGGATATAAAATACGATAATTGTGTCATTATATTGAAACAAAGATGTCTAACTACTTTTGAATATGTCACACGCTATGTTATTTTTGGTGCTAGTTAGCTATGTAAGATGTATTGAAATTTTTTATCAAAAGTCAACTACGTTTTATAAATTGGATTAGAACTTGTGTGGTTTTTTTTAAGAGTTTTGAAAAAGATTTTTCAGACTTAATATTCATAACTACTTAAAACGGTGTTCATTTCAAAATTGACCTACAATTATTTTACTTAAAATTTTCAAAATCCAATGTTACACGTTGAATCAGTCGAATTAGCTCTCGTATTTTCTTAGAAGAAACTTTTAGTTCAAGTTCTTATTATCAATAGCTCAAATTCTCTTCTTTTCCCTCTTTATTATGTCAAGTCCACTATAAATGCTCAATGCTAGGTCCATTGTGATTTTCATACAGCTAATTAAATACACCTCACTTTTTGAGAAGAGTAATTTTCCAGTTGTATATCAATCAAGTAATAATTAATAACAATTTTAAACCTCAACTTTTATAAATATAAACAGTCGAAGAAAATCTGAAAATTTAAAATAAATATATAATATTGTGCTTTTAAACAATAATAATTAGAATAATTCAAGTGGGGTTTTGGTCAAAAAAGAAAAAAAGATCCAGGGCTCTAGAAAGGTAAAAGATTTGGTGATATTGACATTTGTTTTTATATTAAGTCATGTATAAAAAGATAGAATATATTTCAAGTGATATTGACAAATACTTTGGCATGCATGCAAATGCATGCTCAAACAGTAAATAAACATACATAACATAATTATATATATATATATATATATATATATATATATATATATATATATATATATATATATATATATATATATATATGTTTGCATGCTTTATGAATATGATGATGATGTATTGATGCGTGATTTGTTGTTTGCATGCTTATGGATGAACATCATTGCAATTGGATAGCATAGTCTTGATCAAGAGGAAGAAGCCATTGTGATTACTTTAGCTAGCTATCTACTTAAAATTTTGAACTTGGACACTAGCTAGAGTGTTGTAGAGTTAGCCACAATGATGTATTATTTTGCGTCGATTATAGTTCGATTTAATGGATATACTTCTCGGGAAAAATTGTCACCTTACTTTTAATAATATTGGTTTTTGATCATTAGATTTCTTATAAGATACTCAAACTCAAATTAATAACGAGATAAAGACAGAAATAGCACAATTATTAATTTTTTTTGGTTGTGGGAAAATTAGATTTTAATTTGGTTTCATTTAACTCATTAATTATTATGATAGCTTGTAATAATGTGATACAAAGGAAAATAACAAAAGTACGAACAAACTTTTGTTGGTATCTTCATATACTTCTATCATGCCAAATCACCAAATAACCATGCTAACTTATAACTTTGTTTTTTAAGTTTTATACTTTTAAAGTTACTGTTAAATATTAATTGTAAAACAGGAATATTTTAGTTCTTACAAATAATACCTCTTTTGTTGCAATTAATATTTAACGGAGGAAGTATATATTTTCTCCGTTTTCTTTTAATCACAACGTATTTTTTTTAGAAAATTAAAGTTACAGATTAATTGCTACATTACTTTATTTAAACAATGATTCTCTCTATCTCTGTCTTCATTATATAGGTCACCTTCCATTTTCTCATTTTATCTTTCTTTTCTCCTAAAATATTGTGCAACTCTCCTATGTTGCAATTTTTTTTTTAAAAAAGAGAGGAAGTAATATTTAAGCTATATACAGTATGTATGTTTGAACTTCTTTGGCACTTAATAATAAACTTATGTAGCTCGTCCAAAACAAACAAAAAGGATTCAATGAAATGAATCATTGAAATATTAAATTGGTACTAATTACTATTGAAATAATGATCTACAAAGTGAAAAAAAGTTTCAGGAGTTTGAATTACTATATGCTAATAATTATTTTTTAACATATTTTTCTTTGGTAGACCATATCAGGCTTGAAAAAGCTAGTTTAATAGTTGTATTCTAAATTATTGCTAAGGGTTCCAATCCCATGCTTTCTTCATGATTATAAAGCCAAAGTAGACACTTTTTTGGATGTAAAAATGATTACTACTGTTAATTAATAATGAGATATACTCCTATTTATATGGGCAAAATGTTGATTTTTTTTTTTGTCATAAATTAATCCAAATTTATAGGTTTTAATTGGACCATGAAATAGACTTTAGAGGAAAGTTAAAAATAATAATTAATGGAAATTGAATTTCCCCTTTTTTTTTTTTTGGCGCCTCACTTTGGCTCCCCAAATATGAGGGATTACAAATGGGTGTACACAACTACACATAAAATGATATTACACACAATGACACAATAGATTGAATTTAAATGGACCAAATAAAGCTAATTTTTTTTAATTATTTTTACTTTAACATTAAGGCAAAATACAAGTTATAAAAATTACAAAGAAAATTAGGATTAAATCTAGCACTTCTCTCTTGCTCCCCAGTCCTTTCTGATGTCAAAGTAGTATGTGGTATCCAAGTAACAGTTGCCATCATCATCCACAAACTGCAAATATAAACACCAAAATTAGGTAAAACAAATCAAATTAAAATTGAAATCCCCCTTTAAATAAACAAAATCAAGACCGTATTGTGTCATCAATGATCACACTATTAATTTTTTTCACAGGTGACAAATAGGTCGTTTGGATCAGAATTGGATTCTGCCATGTTGGGCAAATCATTTATAGTTCGGTTCAGTATTGGAAATTTTGGGTCAAATCATATTCAAGCCTAGATTTATGAAAGATCAACCAATATTAGTGTTAATTGTTACTTGCATATCAAACTTTGGTTCCTAGTTTAGGGTATAGACGTATAATTTTGCTTCAGGTACAAGTCAGTTTTGTCAAGTCTTGGAACAAACTTACCTTAGATCGAACAAGAAAAGGACCCCTTGCAAAGAACCCGGAAGGTGTTGTTCCTTCTTCTAATTCAAAGGTATATTGCTCTTGTCTTGGGCTAAATGTGCCTACCAATTTCTTTGTTTGATGCACTGCAAAATTCACATAAAAAAATTTAACTCATACAACCATAAATAACAGCACAATATTAAAAAAAATTTTACTCCTTATTTTACCTCTAATTCCAGACTTCCAGACCATGTAAGTGTATGCAAGATTTTTAACAACATTTTTGGTCACGGTAAAAAGAAATTTGATACGATATTTGCTTCCTTCCTTGAGGGTGAATAGTGTGGCCTTAGAAGTTGTTGATGGAAATGGAATTGGCAACACTACATCGGCTCGACCAGGAGAAAGAACTGATAGGCTCAGTATCTGAACTTCTGGTGCTTTGTTCCCTGCTAGTTCATGTAACGAAGTTAAGAAAAATTAATTTTCAAAGTTATAAAACAAGGAACAAGATTATAGTATAAGGTTTTTGTAACTAATAAGTTAAGTGTCATGCTTTAATGCAGGACTATATAGTCATATTGTTCGTTGTCAGATAAGTTCGGAAAAGATCAGATTTGTTTAGTGATTCAGATAAGTTCAGCATATCAGGTTACAAAAATTTCAGAATAATTTGGAATAATGCAAATGTTATGAACAAAAATTAGATAAATGTGTTTAATACCTTCTTCTACTGCTGTAAGATTAATGTTCCCAAGAAGTTGCTTCTGATTGCTTAAGCTTTCATCATCCTTCAATATAGCAGCACAGAAGTAACATATTAGAAAATCGAATCATAAACCATTACTATTTTAAGAAATGTGACTACTAAATTACTAATTCAGGAAAGATAAGGAGAAAGGGCTAGACCTTATCATCCTTCTCAAGCTGCTCGTCGTTCTGACAATTTTCAGACTTCAAACAGGCATCATCATCGCGCTTGACTTCAGAGTTTTCTTCAGTATGATCAGTCCTTTTGCTGATTTCTTTGATCAAATCCTTGCAAATGTCTGCGTTTTCATTCAACTCGCAGCCTAAGCTCTCTATGATCTTATCAGGTTTTTGCTCTACTTCCTTCTTCATGTTAGAAGAGAGAATAATCCCGGAATTTTGGGAGGGAGAAATAGTTCCTACAACAGCAGACATTATACTTTTGAAAACTAACACTTAGACACAAATACAGGGTTTTTGCTCTGTGTTGTGTTGTGAGGTTGAAATTGTCCTAAATTTAAGGCATTGAAGAATTATTTATTTAATTGTGCAAGTTATGATCATGATGAAAGCATATGGCATGTGGGTTTAAAAGTTGTGAAATATGGTAGCTTTGTATTAAAGGCAAGCAGCAAAAGCAAGTAACATAGGATGTGTGTATAAATTTTCTCAATTCGCGTAACTGTTAGACAAGTAACATTGGTACCACATCATTTTGCCAAAAATAAAGACTTAATTTGACTTTCGCGCTTTTAATGAAGAATATTGTAGCCATTTAATGAAAGGGCGTTTGTATCACTTATATATCAAAGGATCGTATTGGGGCATTTATAAGGCTAAATGGCTAACTATTAGTCACCTAACACTCAATAAAATAATTAAAACGTCAAAAGTTTTCTCTAATATAACGAATCTCTTCTCATGTTCAAGTAATATTTGTCGATTCGATGGACTAGTGTCTTTAGGTGATTAATATGTTAATCATTTTTGAGTATTCTTAAAATTAAAAAAAAAAAGGCAACAAATCAAGAGTACGGATGCAAATGAGTTTTGAGTTACAGTAATGCTGCAGAAAAATGAAAAGTTAGGTAGCAATCCCAAGAACTAAATCCAGTACATATTCCCTAGTGATTATGGTAATTGATTAATGACAGGTTACCAGTGACTAAGTGACCCTAATGATGATGAAAAACCCCATATTAAATAAAATTTAAAAGGGGGTCCATTTCCTCATTAACTTTTCATATAATGCAAAGCACTTCAGGAATATTTATTAGCTTATTATATACAGTAACCTCTAATTATCTTGCAGATTAATGGATTAGGAAATCTTACATTTTTTTGGCTAAATATTCCTTAGAAGTGGTTGAGGGTTTTATGTATACTTTAAAATGCATTGAATTGAGTGCATTTTGCTTTTCTTATGCTTCAATTAGACAATGATTACTGTGCTAATTTGATTAAATATGCATTTGTTAGGGATGAATTTTATCAGAATGATATCATAGATTTTCTCTCAATAAGTATTGTCTGTCTCATTCATCTTGTAACTATGATGTTCAAATAAAAAAGCAAGTATTAATTTAAATCTGGTTGTTTCATTATTGACAATAATTTAGCATGAATTGGGTTATTATTATGAACTTAATCAATAATGACTCAATGAATTCCATGTACATATTTTTTGTCAAGTTGAAGGCAAATCGCTCATTCTAAATAAAAGGTTTATTGAAAACAACTTCTCTTTATAGCACGCAGGAGTAAAGATGCGTATATCTAATCCCTTACCTCGCTAAGGCGGAAACCTTATTGGAGTTGTAAGGGAGATAACTGTTATGGTGATCAACGCTTCCATGAAGAAAAAGCTCCATACGAGAAATGGCGTAGCACTTGTGTTGTAGCCATTAGCCAAAGCAGTAAGAACATAGGAGGTCATATGCCTAACAGGTTACAACATCCTTTATATGATGATGCTTCATTTTTCGCCAAAGCTTATTTTCGATAATCGATCACTCCGTTGAGATTCAGGACTCAAGCTGAAACTCTTCCCTCTATAGCAAAAGGGTAACATCTCTTAGTACCAGTACATTATTAGAAATTATTTCTTCAACTATGGACCCATGGTGGCCAGGAAGAATCACTAAGCAAGTTCGACAAGGTTTCCGGGAGGAATTATAAGCAAAGGGTCCAGACCCTCAGAATTCGGAAATTAATCAGACAACAAGCATGAATCTGGGTATTTAACAGCCTGGACTGTAGACTGTGTGGACCTAGTGGCAGTCATCCTACCCAAAAGTTCATAAAAATGGTAAAAAAAATAAATAAAAATAATTTGAATGAAAAAGAAGAAGAAAAGAGCAGTTTACTCCAAAAGTTCAATAAGGAATAGAATAGACACTTTTATTATCACACAAAACTTCTATTCCGTTATTGGAGTTTCTGAAGTTTAAAGATTCACTAGCTGAGTGGAAGGGGATTTATGAAGATATACCCATGCTAATATGATTAATAAGTAACAATATGATAATAATTAGATACGAACAGCTTAGAGAGGTTGAGGGCGTGTTTGAACGATGTAGACATCATTGCCAATCAAGCATCCTTCGACATCCTGAGGGCACCCGAATTTCCTCTCCAGGAAAAAACCAACAGCACAGAGTCGCTGACCAAGCTGCTTTCTGAAAACAGTATCAACAGTCAGTGGTTTCTTGCTGTAATCTACAGTCAAACGAATAACTTCGCCGTCAGCAGGTCCTGCTCTGCCCACTAGCATCTCTTCACTGAAGTTCGCAAAAGCCAATGTCTTCACAGACCCGTCAAATTTTCCAGAAGATAAACGCCATGGTGTACCTCTGGTGCCTGATGCCAGTGTTTCACCAAGACCAGGAGCAATCTCAGCCTCGACAACATTTCTGTCATTGTCTGTTGGAGAAAGGGTGTGAAGTACAAATGATAAATCTGGAGAAAGCATTTCTTGGACCAAAACTGCCATTTGGGCCTTCTTTTGGGGTACCCCTGCAGCCCTCCGACTAAGAACTGCTCGACGAGTGTATAGTGAAGCCCAAACCCTACTGACAGCACTGCCAAAGACGGTAGGGTTTGATGGACTGACATTTGGAATAGATTCATAGAGCCCAGCCGCTGACATTCCCGCCAAGTCTTCTACATTAGCACTTGACCGTACAATTAAACAAGCAGTGCTCGGAAAGATTTCTGCTATTTTTTGAATGACGTCCTTAGAGGGCTGTATGGAACATATCAGTTCTTGAAGTTTAGAACACAGATTGTCAAGGGCTCCATCTGCAACCTCTGCAGTTTCTATCTGTTCTACATAGGACCTGAATGCTTCCAAAGACTGGTTAGCCTCTAATGCCAATTCCATAGAACCGAATGGGATAACTGCTCCTGTAGGGGCCTTAAATGAGGCTGGAACTCCAAGCTCATTGTAAACTGCCATAAGAGAAGCAAATGCAGATGTTATTATAAGTAAAGGTAAAATTTATTGTTCCAGATGAATGAAAATTATTCTTCAATCCAAAGACAGCACACAAGAGGAAAAGGTAAAAGAAGAAACAAAATGCACCTTTAATAGAGGCTTCCGACAGAGAAGACAAGCGTCCACAAGCACCAGCTTTTGCCCCGCAAGTACGTGGCTCTGCGTCAGCAAGCAGAGTGACAACTTCGGAAGGAATTACCTGAACCAAAAATTTTTTGCACTCGTCAACAAAAAGCAGAATGGCGTCTGGAATCACCTGAACCAAAATTTTCTGCATTTTATCAACTTAGTAACAAACAAAACTGCAATTTCATCACTCAAAGCTTAGGGATGGAGACACAAAGAAAGAAGGTACTAGATTAGACCTCGCTTAGCTGTGGATCTATGCTCAGAGAGGAGGAAGAATCATCAGACTCAACAAGCCCCGCTGTAGATGGTTCATGACTTGGAGGAATGTCTATGATAGGATCATGATTTGTTCCACCAGGAGAACATGGTTGTATATCAACCCCTCCTGAGGACGCTTCCAGCCTGGAATGAATTACAAGGACCCTCAGGAATAAATAGTTTGATAAGTGGAAAGATTCAGATTTTCCAAGAAATACAAGATAAAGAGAACCCAAGATTTTCACAAAGTAACTTAAAATTTGAACAGTGGGGATATCCCAATATTGCATTTACAAAAGGAATAAATAGTTTGATAAGTGGCAAGATTCAGATAAAATTACCTGATATATTGTCCACCAAGCTTCTGGAAATATGAAGCTGAATCATCATCTTCGCAAGTGACAAAGGCAACCTTTTCCTGTACAGGATTATCTATGTTGTTACTCCCAGTTCTCAAGCTTAAACGCGAAATAAAATTTGACCAGAAGTATATTGCAACTCACTTGTCGTGCTCGGACACCAAGATGGGATAGATGGGGAAGCTCTTGCAGGAGTATGACACCAACTATATTAGTTCCTGCAGCTGTCACCTGCCAGATACCTCACATGTTACACATACAATTAAGCCCTTCAATATGTGCTACAAATATTTACAGAGACTTTCATACCTCTTCATCTCCATCAGCTCTGCGAACAACAAGAATAACGGGCCCTGTTACAGATGAAGGTAGTGACCCAGGTATAATACTATCAACCTAAGTTGAACAAAAGCCAACAAAAAAAAGATCCACAATTAGTCAATTAATGAAATAAGATGACAGAAAAAGCTAATTACCAATGCAGCTTATGTTACAAGATCAACAAGCTGAATTCAAACACAATATCAACATTAATTTTATCTGACATCAATCACCAAATCAGGCATGGTTAAGTTGGTTAGCAGTCTTAACTTACAAACAACCAGGTCAACTGTACAGCAAAACAGCAGCTGGCAAAAGACAATCATGCTAATTTGTTTTGACATGGCAGTCGCATTAACTGTATAGAGTTATCTATAAAGGTGAAGCTCTATAGGAAAGGGACAACGGAAGAAAATTATCAAAGAGCCACAGCATATATCAATTTGTCAGAAAGAAGCTCAAAATAAAGGAAAAGAAAAGAATGGTTCAAAATCATATAAATCAATATTGGGTAAGATGCTCCTAATTTTTAGTGACAGAGACTATCAAGTTCAATTAACGCTCTGAACCTCCTTTTCAATTCTTTCTTTTATAAGCCATCATTATTGCACCAAGGCATTGATGGTCCTCTTCTCCGAATGCAAAGTGTGCTTCTAATCTCATTTGATATACTCCCACCTCTCAACTAAGAGGCAAACATAATTAAAATCATTTATTGTAAATGAAATCCAAGTTTCCCGGCCTCCAGAAATCCAACACTCATTATTTTACATTAGCAATCTACTAAATCAAACAACGAATTACAATAGAGGATTGTTGCACAGCACCTGAACAATTGTTCCATAAGCAGTTCCTGGAACAATAACATCCCAACCTTGTGATGCTAGCAAAAGTCTGACACCTTTCAGAAGAATGGTACAGATTTTAGAGACCTGAAAAATCACGCTGGGATAACATTGAACTGAAAGTTAGTAAAATATTTATAACTGAAACTTGCACCTAAGTCAACAAACTAGTACTATCTGCCACGGTTTTATTATTCTAATGCTTGTTATAAGTTCTTACCCTGCACGAATCTCAGCCTCTGTGTAAGTCCTAACACTATTCTCAGCAATTCCTAGAGCTCTTCCTAGCATCTGTCAAACCCAAACAT